AATCATCTTAAGTTTCTCTCATTTAAATTTCTGCTTGAGAATTCTACTTTTAAACGTGAAAAGCCAATTCATATGCTCAGCGGATAAGTATTCCATTTCTGAAAAGTCTATTATTTTTACTGTTTCTTCCTCTGCACGGTACCTTTTTTTTTTTTTCCTTCTTCTACCTCTTTAAAAAAAATCTTTATATAAACTCAGTATAATTTCTGTCTAAAGGTAGGGAAAAGAAGTCATAAACATAAAGCCAGCCCCATCCATTTCATTTTTTGTTAGCTACTTGGATAGATGTTAAGATTACCTGTGTCAGATTGGCCTTGGAGATTACCTGGAGGTGTAATTCTGTGGAGTGTATTTGTTTACTGCCAAGCAAAAATGGAGAGAGTTTTCTCAATATCTTCCACTTGGGGTTAGCTTTCAGCTAGCTAGATAAGAACCACTGCTTAAAGGATAATAACAGGAAATCACAAATATATGCAGGTTCTGAAGTCTAATAAATCCACTACAAACTACTCTGTCACAAAATTTGAATTTGCGGGTCATCATTCAAGAGCTTCCATCTTCCTTTCAAGAACTATCCCCTGAAACCCACCTTTAGGGACTGCCCCCAGTAGAAGCAAAATGTAAAACATAAGCTGTTTAAGTGATACCAGAAATCAAAATGTGTTTTAATGCTACAAGTTATGACAAAAACAGATACTGTTTTTAAAACCAGAATATATGTACTGGTCGTATACCAACCACAATGCCTTCCACTGTAAGCAACAGAAAACGCCACTCTGCTCAAACACAAAGAAATGCATTGTCATACACAACCGAAAGTCAGGAATGTGGGCAGACTTCAGGGTTAACTTAGCGAGTAGCTCCAGCTTCGTCAGCCCCTTTCCTCCGTCCTGCTGTGTTGGCGCATGCCCAAGCTGGTAGGAAGATGGTTCCACCAGTGGGGATCACACATCCACACACAATCACCACCAAAGGAAGGAAGAGCGTCTCTTCCTATAGTTCTTTCTCCAGAGTGAGAAAACTTTACCCAGAAGCCCTCAGAAATTCATCCAGCATCTCAGGGGCCTATGAGAGAACACATGTTTTTTCTACAACTAAACTCTGTCACCAAGGAAAGGTTTATTTTTTTTGCTCGAGTCTGGGTTCCTGAACTAAAAACGAGTAGGTTTTCTGTCAGTGTTGTTTTGCTGTTTTAGCAACACTATAAATGTGGCCTGACATCAGGCTAAACCTGTAAAAAAGGAAACTCAAGCCATTCTGGTCCCTTCCTCCAAATTGCCACTGTCCTCCAAACTTCTTGGGTTTTTCACCCTCCATAAACTTCGGGTAGTCATTGTCCATAGTTTTATGGTTTGAATTATGCTCCCCACCCAAATTCATATACTGAAGGCCTAACTTCCAATACCTCAGAATGTGACCTTATTCAGAAAGAAGGTCCTTGCAGATGTAACTAGTTAAGATGTCAACTGGAGTAGGGTGGACCCCTAATCCAAAGTGACTTGTATCCTTATAAAAAGGGGAAATTTGGACACAGACATATAGACACGGACAACACCAATGTGAAGATGAAGGCAGAGGTAGGGGTGATGCTTCTACCAACCAAGGAAGGCCAAAGGTTGCCAGCAAACTAGCAGAGAGGGCCTAGAATAGATCCTCCCCCACATTCCTCAGAGGGAACCAACCCTGCTGATACCTTGATCTCACACCTGTAGCCTCCAAGACTAAAAGAGTAAATCTCTGCTGTTTAAGTCACCCAATTTGTGGTATTTTAAGGTTGTCCTAGCAAACCAACTATGCACCACACGATGCCCAGAGTTTATACAGGGAGGTCATTAGGAGCTTACTCCCCCAAACCAGGGGTGAAATTGTCTTACTTGCCTGAGAATAAGTTAGCGTTTTCTCTATGCCTCTTTTCTTATCTGCAAAATAGGGGTAATAATGATATTTATCATAGCATTGTGGGGAAGATGAAGTAAGCTGATAGATGTAAAGATTAGAGCATGGTACACGGAACATGTACGCTCTCATAGTTATTAGCTATTCTTGTCCTGCACTCATTGGACTATATGCCAGGCACTCTAGGTACCTTACCAAACCAAACAGATACAAATTTGGGGCTTTCTGAAGTTTACATTATAGCGAGAGGATGCAGACAATAAGACAAATAAGCAACTTATGTAACATATTGGCCAGTACTAAGTTCTATGAACAGAAATGAATCAGAGAAGGAGGAAGGGGAGGACGGGTTGGGGAGGGCAGTGGTTGATAGGCCGGCCCAGAGAGGCATCATGGAGGAGGTTAGAAACTGAGCTGGTGCACACCAGGCAGACATAACAGCAAGTGCAAGTGGCCTGTGGTAGGAGTCGGCCTGTATACTCACAGGGCGGGAAGGCCAGTGTGGCTACAGCAAAATGAGGTGGGAAGCGGTGGGAGAGGAGGAGGTCAGAGACGTAATCAGGGACAAGGGGATGTGTCCTGGGAGGGCTTAGGCTTGCACCCTGAATGACATTGCAAGTCAGTGGAGGTTTTGTGCATAGGAATGACCATGCATTTTTATAGAATCACCCTGGCCATGAGGTGAGAGTAGGTATGAGGAAGAAGAGAACAGACAGACCCAGTTAGGATGCTGTTTCTGGAGTCCAGTCAGTGGAGGAGGTAAAACATAATTAGGTTCTAGATGCTCTGACAAGAAAAGGGACATGTTTTCCTGATGGACTGAATGTGATGTCTGAATGAAAGAGAAGAGTTATGAATTGCTCTGAGGTTCGAACCTGAGCAACAGTAAGTATGTTTCCATCAACCGAATTAGGGAAGATTTATGGAGCAATGGGTTAGGGAAGGAGAGAATAAAGTTGTTATTACCAGTGTCCTGCCTCTTACCTTTAGTATTTTGCCTTTATTGTTAGAATGAACGAAGTAGTTGCTAATATTGTCCTTCCTCTTCCTGTTACTGGTACTGCCATTATTTTTTTTTTTTTTAAGATTTTATTTATTTATTTGACAGAGAAAGACACAGCGAGAGAGGGAACACAAACGGGGAGTGGGAGAGGGAGAAGCAGACTCCCTGCTGAGCAGGGAGCCCGATGCGGGACTCGATCCCGGGACTCCAGGATCATGACCTGAGCCGAAGGCAGTCGCTTAACCAACTGAGCCATTATTGTTATTAAAGTGAGAGGTGACTTAATGCACCCTTTTCTGTTTATTCTCAATCCCATCTTCTATGGGACCTTCTTTTTTCCTTACAGGTAACAAGCCACTTTGGGGTCAGCACATTCCACCCAGCTGCTCCTTTTTCTTTTTCCTTTTTTTTTTTTTAAGATTTTATTTATTTGGGGTGCCTGGGTGGCTCAGTTGTTAAGTGTCTGCCCTCGGCTCAGGTCATGATCCCAGGGTCCTGGGATCAAGTCCTGCATGGGGCTCCCTGCTCAGCAAGGAGCCTGCTTCTCCCTCCCCACTCCCCCTGCTTGTGTTCCTGCTCTTGCTGTCTCTCTGTCAAATAAATAAATAAAATCTTAAAAAAAAAAAAAAAGATTTTATTTATTTGAGAGAGAGAGCACCAGCGGGGGAAGAGCAGACTCCCCGCTGAGTGCAGAGCCCAACACCTGGCTCGATCCCAGGACCCCGAGATCATGACAGAATCAAAGTCAGACACGCTTAACCAATTGAGCCCCCAGGCGCACCCCCACCTTTTTTAAAGATTTTACTTATTTACAGCTGCTCCTTCTTCCCGCTGTAATCTAGTCCCAAAGGGAAGTCAGTGGCTACAGAGCATGCCCCTGTCTCTTGGGAACATAACTTGACTCACCCCTGTTCCTACGGTCACATCTTCCTTCTCGATCTCCCAAGACTGTCTTTGTGAAAGGAAACCCCTGACTTTTCTCCCTTTGGAAATTTCACTGCCCTTTGCTTTTTCTCATTTTAGCCATTTTTCTTCCACTTACTCCAATTTCCATTAATCCTTGCACCAATTCTTCCCCACTCCCAGTACTGGCTGTTCTCGCTCATGAATTCTGCTGGGACCCCTCAGTAAATCTGAATAAATCCCCTGACCTGTCTTCCTCACTTCTCCTTTCCCTCTGGGCCTCAACTAAAACTCTTGCTACAGGAATTGTTGCTTGGTGTCTCTCGGGCTCAGTTTGCTCCTCTGTACAATAAAGGAACTAACCAGGTTATCTGCAAAGATCCTCAGTTGTAACTTTTGAACACACTGACTAGGTGTTTTTCCTGTGTGGCAAGTTCTTCCTTCTATCTAAGTCGTCTTCAGAGCCTGCCTTTTATTACTCTCTTATTACCAAGGTCCCAAGCACATTTTTTTCATCATTATTTCTTTTTTTTTTTTAAGATTTTATTTATTCATTTGAGAGAGACAGGGACAGAGAGAGCATAAGCAGAGGGAGAGGGAGAAGCAGACTCTCTGCTGAGCCGGGAGCCCAACACGGAGCTCAATCCCAGGACCCTGAGATCATGACCCGAGCCAAAGGCAGACGCTTAACCATCTGAGCCACCCACGTGCCCCTCATCATTATTTCTTAGGCAAAGCGAAATGGCTTTCACCCACACCTTAAGTTGATCAAAAGAATGTGTTTATTTTTCTAGATATTTCCTAACGTTGCACACAAAATATTTGAGGGACCATGATTCAAGTTTAAAGAAACAACCTTATTTGGACGTTTCTTAACCATGAGTGAGATTTCATGATTTTCTTTAAGAAATCTATGACTGGAAAGTTTCGTTAATGCCAGTGACAAGCAGCTAATGGTGGCATCATTTCTGCTTTGATTTTCTGTGACACACTTTTGAGGTTTTCATCCTCACTTCTTTGCAGGGCCCTCACCTTTGTCTTCCTTTTGCCCTGTAACTGCCAATTTTCATCAGCGATTGAGAAAATAAGAGTGCAAGGAAAAACAATTTGGCTCAGCTGACTGTTTTTTCAAGGAAACTGTTTTTTTAGATTTCAGACTAAGTTTATAAAAAAAACATTTTAATCCTATAATCAGAGGTCATTTTTAATGCTTTTATTCAGCAAAATTCCAGGTAATTTTGAAATACATTGGACATCCATTTATTGAGGACAAGAGAGGTTATTTCAAAACATTCTTTAATAGCCCTAAACTGATTTTTCCTATCAGAAGAAAAAGGAAAATCCACCCGGAAAAGTCTTTTTATAGTGGAGGTTACATAGCTGAGCTTCTTAGGCATTAAACTAATTCACACACAAACACACACACACACGTATATAATTGGTTAGAAATATTCCATTTCAGGATTAAGTTTTACACAACACATTATGACCATAAATGGGTTACTTGGATATAATAGTTATCTCTATTTTTAGCAAGGGAGCTAGATTTCATAATATTCAATCCTGGCTTATAAATTTAACTTGGTAAACTTGCAGGAGGAATGTGAGCTGTCTAGCATTCTCTGACAAATCAAAAGCCATCCCTCCTGAGTCCCACAGTACAGACATGTCTGCCTCCTCTGAACTCCAGTGGAAGTTACCTTGTGTTGTCCTTATCTCCCATACTTCCTAATTCAGAGTCTCTCGTATCTATCAATAAATAATTACGAAGAAAAAAGGAGCAGAAAAATAAGCAGGCATTGCAGTTTAATCGAAAAAGCATGGGTGTTGAATTAGACAAACCTAGCTTTGTATCTCATTTCATCTATTTCTTCACCATGTGATCCTGGGCAGCTGACTGAACTATCTGAGCCTTCGTTTTCTCGGCTATATAGCAGAGGTAATTAACTGCCCTCGTACCATGAAGGTTCAATTAAAATTGAAAAGCACCTGGCACATACAAGACACGCGATAAAAGGTACTTCTCCCTCCCCTATTCTGGCATATCATTCATAGAGCAATCCTGTGGCATCACAGAAAATCCTGATTGAACACCGAGCTGTTTCTGGGCTGTGAGCTTTTTGAAGGCAGAGTCTTGTTCATCTTTGTATTTCCTATGGAACCTAGGGTAGTGAGCTACATATTCTGGAGGCGCGGTAACTGTGTACTGTTTTAAACTGAGGGCTGAGGGGTGCCTGGGTGGCTCAGTCGTTAAGCGTCTGCCTTCAGCTCAGGTCATGATCCCAGGGTCCTGGGATCGAGCCCCGCATCGGGCTCCCTACTCAGCGGGAAGCCTGCTTCTCCCTCTCCCACTCCCCCTGCTTGTGTTCCCTCTCTCGCTGTGTCTCTCTCTGTCAAATAAATAAAATCTTTAAAAAAAAAAAAAACTGAGGGCTGAAACAGGACCACTCCTAAGCTGTGCAACAATTATCTACGGATTGGGGCTCTTCTGGTATGGTGAGCTGTGGCTCAGGCCTCTTGGGTGTTGAGACAGCCCACCATGTTTTAAATTAGGTTGCACAAAATAGAGCTACTTTCCTAAATTCCTTGGCAACTAATCAGAAGGCTGTTCCATTTCTCACTGTAGAAACTATTGCAAAAAAATTGACCTTACTCTGAGAGAGAGAAACAGAATCCACTACACTGTGCTGGAAAATCAACAAGTTGTGTTGAAAGCACTGAGTCACATAAGTGTGGGTTTTAAACACCAGCTGGTCCCTGACTAGCCGTGAGACCTTGGGCAAGCTGTCTACGCTCGTTGAGCCTCAATTAAACCAAAGGGAGAGACAATAACTCCACTGTGGTTGTCACACAGGGTTGTGGGTACAGAAGGTCATGCCCTGGAACCGACTGGAACACTGGGGAAGCAGGATGCCAACACCAAGTCTAGAAAGCCATCACTTCTCAGTCATGGGAGCTCCTCCTCTGTCATGGTCCACGCTTCTACCCATATTCCCTTCTTTGGCAACTGGCCAGCTCTCATTGTATCACTTCAGTTCAATTGAGCAGAAAAGCTGTGCACGTGTGCATGCATGCATCAACACACAAGTGGTCACATCTACGGATCCCCCAACTTTTGTTCCGCAGGTCACATTACAATGCCATGAGAAGGTGCGCTCGTTAAGCCGCCATACAACAAATGCACACTTTCCTTTTCCGTCTGATGCTAGAACACTGCACAGTCCAATTTGCTTGTGGCTTTTTCTCACGTGTCAGTCAGTCACAGCTTCCTCTGCAAAAATACTTCAAAGAAAATACAGCCCAGCCAAAGCATTAACAGAAAGCCCCAGACGAAAGGGGGCAGGCTGCGGGCAAAGCCAAGTGACCGGTCTTTTCAGTTCTGGTGGAATCTTTGTTTCTAGGTCACTCTACTAACATCACCTAAGGAAACTGGGTTCCTAAGGAAATTGGGAGGTTGGGGAGGCAGATGGGCCACCTACACACCACATATGGAAGAACGAACCTTCCCAAATTTCTGAAAAAAGTCTTCTTCTGCCCGGGCCAGTGCGTCTTCATCAATGTACACAGCTGGCCTTCTGGCCATGAGGAAGTACTGCACCTTCCTCAGATTCCAGCCCATCACGTACTGGAGCCAGCCGCAGACGGCCGCCGTGGACCTGCCGACCCCGGCGTTGCAGTGAACGTATACGGTGTGTCCATTCTCGAGCAGCGCGTGCAGGAGACAGACCGCCTGGGGCAGCATCTGCACTCGGCCTGGGATTGAGAAAGCACAGCACAGACACATGAATAATGAAACCCCAATATCTCACTCATGACAACTCTTCAGTGCCTGGTGAGATGAGTGCCATGCAAGGAGAGGCAGGGATAGCAGAGCTTGCTCCATTCCTTTGTTTTGACGGAAAAGGTAAGACAATAATAAAGTAGAAAGAACACTCCAGAGGCAGTGGGTCAGCTCTGAACCTTCCCTGGCTTTTGCTTTGAGTGACTTCTGCATCAGGACAAATTTCCTTTCAAAGAAAACTTAACCGTTGCCTATGGTCAGAAGAACGGATTTTTACATCCATCAGAAGGGCTTGCTCAGATTGGGCAGAGATTTACAGGATTTCACCCTGACTTTCTTTAATCCAAACAGATCTTCAAGATCAATGCAAAACACAGAATTAGTCCATATTGGTTAAAGGAGTCAATCTTATTCACTCAACATATGCCAATTTTCATTTGGCCAATGGGATGGCGAACATTAATTGACCCACATGCGATAACCGATCATTCATTTATTCCTTCATGATACAGTGAGTGTTGAAATGATTCCATTTCTCCTTTACTGGTCAATTGTGATTATGGTTATTATTACCTCATGACTACTATTTTGATTATTAGGTGATCAAATGTCTCATTTATACCCTGATAGGATATGTAATGCTCTGCTCAGCCCTGCCAGACTCCTGTCTCATGAGGCAGAGATCTTCCGAAAGCCATCAAATGCCTAGATGCCTGGAATTTCTTCTGCACACAGGTTCTCAGAGCAAAGACAGTTAGTGGATTTGGTGGGGGGTGTGGACGATGGTCAAATTACTTCAAAGAGGATGAAAGAGGGAAACTGTAGAGAGTCCTGGATTACGCACCCGTGACTTGACATTCACTAGCTAATCTGTATTCTAGACCACACAGGGGCACAATGGCACTTCACATTGCCATCCCACTGGATGATGGGAGAGGTGGGGAAAACTCCCCCCTCAAATGATTTTACTGCAGATCCTGAGGCCTAGAATTTCATGGTGGAATGGAGCCAGGAGGTCATGAGAGCCACTCACGGAAGTTGAGACTTCCCTCTTTAGATATCCTCTTCTAAAATGCCAAGTGCCTCTTAAGGGCTAACACAACACATGGCAATCAGGTATCAGCACCTTAGAAGGACAGACGTTACAAGACCCCATCATGGTTTGAAGGCCCTCTCAGTTACCATTCCATCCGGGGTGGATCTTCCTTAGCTTCAGGCTCACCCTGCTCTGACTTAGGAGCAGAAAATCTACATGGAGGCCAAGATAAGATTCTAATTTTGCTGCCAGTGCTCTATCCATCCATCTTACCAAGGCATCTCAAGCTACAGGTCCCACACGGCAGAGTAGAGACATTTTTAATTGGAATGCCTTTGGTCAGGACACACTGCAATTCATCAGGCTCCATCTCTCCCTGCTGCCTATCGCCCTACGTTCATGTTCCCTGCCTGACCTCTGAGGGCAGCTAAGGGGAGCCCCACCAGCTCCCCTGTGCCGCTTGATTTCTCAAAGTCCAAACTCAGCCATAAACCACCATTGATTTGTTCTTCTTCACTAGGTTTCGGGGTACTCTGAGGGTAGAGCTAGATGGGCATGCCACACAGTCAGTTGCTCATGGCACTCCTTCAGGGGCAGTAAAATATCACCAGAAAAGGAACGAAGTGTAGAAGGTCCTATGTACCAGAGAGACGTCTCACCGTCTGTCCCAGGGAGAGTCCTGTGTAGTTGATGCACCATTTGAGCTGGGAGATCAGAGGAGGCAAAACTTCCAAAGTATGTTGGCAATCCTGCCAACACGGGTGAGGACTGCCCATGTGCAAGGTTGTTGTTCTGCTGAAGGGGTGTTAGAGGTGTAGCCCCACTAATACCGGCTGGGAAGGGAATGACCCCCGATCAACCTGGGCAGCCAGGTTATTCCTGCCATGGCTGGCATCACTGGCCAAGTTCGCTGTGACAGATGCCTCTCCTCCTACCATGTACATTTCCAGGACATGAGCAGGAAAAAACTACAATTTTATTGAAATGTAACAATTTCAATTTTATTGAAATATAGTGGACATACAATGTTATGACACAGTGATCTGACAATTCTATACTGTACGCTCTGCTCAGCACAGTAAGGTAGTTACCCTCTGTCACCGTACAACGTTAGTACAAGGTTACGGACTCTACTCCCTGTGCTGTACTTTTTATCTCCGAGAAGTATTTTTAACATGGGGTTTCACTAAATGCCCAGTGTACAAACAGACCACAGTGGCCATGTGCAGTAGGAGCTTCTGGAAGCAGAGTCCCAGGCCCCGGGGCTCCGCTTCTGCAACCTCAGTGTCACCGACCTGCCCAAACCGGGGTTCACATGGACCCGTCAGGATCCATTCCCCCCTACCTGCTCTCCGGCCAGAGATTCCCTGAGGAAGGGTCTGCATCAAATGGCCCAAATGATGAACTATCTCTCCCTTTCCTTTTTATCTGTAAAAGATTCTTCAAGAGGCATGCACACAGTTTAGAAGTTGAAAAGTTTGAAAAGGGGTATGTGTGAGCTTGGAATTCTGTGACCTCAGCCATGCGATCCTGGAAGGTAAGTGACAGCTGCCTCTGGGAAGCTCCAGAAGGCTCCCAGTTTAAACACAGGTTTCACCCCGCAGTGGTCTTCTCCTAGAATCACTTGGCCACCCCCCTTAAGAACTGTCAAACAAATACTTAAATAACATAAAAAGGATGCCGGACAAGGACGGGGTCCAGGATCAGCCTGGCCGCCACTGGAGCTCTTGCTTATTTTGATTTCTAGGGACTACAAATCACTCTGCTTTGATTGATGACAGCTCACATTTACTGAGTCCTTTCTACCTGCCAAGTGCTGTTCTAAGCACCATGCAGGTAATAGTTCATTTGCAATCACCTTTTAACAACTATGAGGTTGGTACTATTTTTATCCTCAGTTTATATCTGAGGGAACTGAGGCAAGGAGATCTGCCCAAGGTTATTCCCCCATGGCCACTGAAACCCAGCCAGCCCAACTCCAAAGCCTCTGGTCTTAACCACTACACTAATGCCCTTCCCTAACCTGCCCGGCCAGGGGCACCTGCTGGCCGCCATGCTCTCAAGATGAGTTCTTAGTCAGTCTCCGCCCCCCACCTACCCCGTCACACTGTTGCTCTTAGTCCAGGTGAGAGCAACATCTTCCCTGGGGGTTAGCCCCTCTGCCCTGCCCTAGAGGGGCTCTCTGTGCCCAATGGGCCACGTGCCTCTGCTAGAAAACCCATTCTAGGGAGCCTGAGCTAATACACAACCCACCGAGGAATAAGAAGAGGGTACCCAGAATCAGAGCTTGCACAATGTCAACAAGAGCCCCTAATTTTTTATGTTTCATATATTTAGGCTCCATTTAGAATTTAATTAGATAAAAAGTTTCCATTCATAAAAAAATGGTAATACCTAAAGGCAAGACAGAAATCCAGAATCTCTGTATAAAATATTCCAAATTTTAACTGCTGACAGCTAGGTTGAAAATTTTCAACCCCGTGCAGGGGTTCACTGTCTGTGATTCTTACTTTGGAATTTAAAACAGGCCTCAGCTCTCAGTAGATGCTCAGTGAGCATTCATTAAGTGCATGAATAAAAAATAAAACGAAACAAAATCCAATAATACTGATTAGATCTGAGACACTACTAGAGTCCTCTAATCTAACTTGTGGCCCATACCTACTCCAGCCTAATCCAACTCTGAATAGATTAAAAGCTTCTTGAAAGCATGCATTGAGCAAACAAAGATTGGGAGAAGAGGGACAAGGAAATGCTGGGAACAGCCTGTGGCATTAGGACCTGAAATCAGGGAGAGGAGTGGAAAAGGCCCTGAAGATGCCCTTTACCTAAGGTTGACCTTGAAAGAAATTATTTCTGGACCGACTTTCAGCCTTTCCAACATACACATATGTGCGTGTGCACACACATGCACATACACACACACACCCCTTCCTTTTTTACTCCAGGCAGATTTATGGCTGAATATATTATTATTTTATTTGAGCATATCTCCTTTTCCACCTTTGCAATGTAATATAGATAAATATCATCTAGTACGTCCTTCAGTAGAAACTTAAGAACTTGGGACTAAAAATATAGTCCCAACTTTGTGATTTTCAAAGCCCTTGCATATCAATCATCTTATTCTATTGTTATAATCCTGTAAGGCAGAAATGATTACCCCATTTTCCAAATGCAGGAATTAGCCCACTCGATATCACACAGCTAGGCGGTGGCAACGAGGCTCAAGCCCACGGGCCTTGGCTCCAAGGTCAGTGTCGGCATCATGGCAGAGCTGAACGCGGTGTTGAGTCAGAGAAGAACTGAGTGTGACAACAAAGGGGTAGCTGAGGACTCTGGGAAGCACGTGCCCTCGCTTGGGAGGCAAGGGCAGACCATTCGTTATCACCAGCACTGCCCTGACAGAGGTCAAAACACAATCTGAGTACTTCCTATGAAGGAAAATGGAATTTTAATGAACAGATTTGGTTTTTTTCAGATGAGTGCTAGATTTGGGAGATTTTCATGTCTCAGGTGAAGGGTACAGACCAAAATTTAAAAAAAAAAAAAAAAGGAAAGAAAAAACCTAACTAACTCCTCTGCATGTGACAAAATGTACAAGAGTAAGGATCGATAGCACAATGGATTATAACAGGTCTGTGACAACTGGTGGTGACAGTCAGGCCTAACAAACTGTCTTCTCTCTCAGACTTCATCTGACAGCATTATGCTACAGCTCAAAACACTTCCAGATGGGTTTTTCTCTAGCGTTCCAAAAATAGTCAGCTGAAGTAATCTATATGTTCATTGTGCTAATATTGTCAGCCACACAGATTAATCTATTGGTCAGAACTTCCCCTGCGACTCAGGAATGGTCATTAACCCTTTGATTACTCCCCCAGTCATGCTGAACCAAAGGAAGCCTTCATTTAGTCTTAGCGTTTGGCCTTTTGCAGGTGGGAGCTTTCCTTCTGCTGTCCTGGCGGTTGCCAGACTGCCTCAATGTGGAAGGTGCTCCACGGTTGTGACCGGGATGGGACCTGGTGACCCTGGGACCCCCAAAAAGGTTTTAACACCACTACGGTGTGCCTTTGGGGATGGAGTTTTCCCTCAGGCTTCTGCATATCCCAAGCTATCGAGCAAATGCCTATTGGTCATCAGGGCCCTGAGGTTATCGGGACAGGGATGGAGAGGGATGCATGCCATAGCAGGTCAGCTGTGCTGAGCTTTGGCTCACATTATACCCTACCGGGTAACAATGCTATAAAATCAGAAGCAAGAAAGCAAAAATCAGAATGCTCTCTGGAAGCTACAGGCACATGAACCTAACAATCTTGTCTGTTTTGAAACCGGAAAAACAAAGCACTTTCCTATCAATCATCTTACTCTATTGTTTTGATCCTGTAGGGCAGAAATGATTACCCCATCTTCCAAATGCAGGAACTAGCCTGCTCGATATCACACAGCTACCCGGGAACTTTCCTTCTGCTGTCACAGGTGCTGCCAAACTTCCTCAGTGTGGAAGGTGCTCCACGGTTGTGGCTGTGATGAGACCCCAAAAAGACTTTAACACAACTACAGAGGGCCTAGGTTCAACCAATGATCTTCCATGCAAGTAAAGTGATTTTTTTTTCCTTGGAAACGGGCAGAGCTCTTATGGCTACATCAAGTTTCTTTGGATCAGCGTTACCAACAGGAATAACCAAACTATCTCTTCCTTCATGAATAAAAATTATACCTCCTCCCCAGTGAGGGTTCAGTCCAGCCTGGGAACCACCTGAGATTCATAAAGAGTCAAGGTGGCCGACGTGCAGTCTCTCTAGGATCCTTGAGATCTTCTGTGCCCACCTGCATCTTGGACTGTTGACTCTGCGGAGACCAGCTACCTCCCTGGCCACTCATGACTTTGTCTAACTCCAGGTGATCATGACTACAAGGGACTACAAGTGCGGTGGTCTGTAGAATGTGCACGGAGAGCCCGGGGGAGCGTGCAGGGAGAGGTGTCTGCAGCAATGTTCTGAGTCTGACTGCCTGTGCTTAAATCCAGGCTGTGTCTCTTTTCCGATGACCCTGACCACATTACTTCACATTTTTGTACCTGTCTCTTCCTCTGCAAGATGGACAAGATTGCATCTGCCTGGAGTGTTGTCAGAATTAAATGAGGTAAGGTATGAAATCGCTGAAGAGAGTGTCTGATACATTATGTACTTTGGGAGGAAGAGGACTGATGGTAGAGCCGTTTCTTACTAGGCACAACTGCCTTCCTTCTTTCCCCCAGAACAGCAGTTCACCAAACTCCCCGAGCCTGAGCCATTCCCGCAGCTCTCTGCTGCCCCCTGCTGACATCTGGTTGATACAAGTAGCGTAACGGTTCTAGCTCTTCCATTCCTTGCCCCGCAAGCACTCTACTGGACCACCAAGCTGAAACACGGAGCATTCCTGTAAAACCCCATGCCTTGGGCCTTGATCTATGCTGTTTCTTCCATCTGGCATGCCCTTCCTTCCTCCCCATTGACCTGTCAAAACCAGGCCCACCTCAAATGCCATGAGACGGACACAGCCTCCCTGTGCTCCCCCCACCAGCACCCCCTAACCCACCAGCAGCACTTGACTCCTTCCTCACATCACGTTCTTCTCTGTATTGTAATAAGTTTTGAACTTCTCTTACCGCCTCTTGCTAGGAGGTCAAAACTATGCCTTACTTGTCTCTCATCGCCCCAGTAGCACGCATGTCATAAAGCTCCTTCACAGAGACATGCTCGGCCGGTACTCGTGCTGGAACTGCAGCCTTGCGATTGCCACACAGCCCGCAGCTGTGTCATCTCCCATGATCTCCCGCTCCAACTATCGCAGTAGCCCCCTAACTGGGGTCCCCAGATCCACTCTGGGCCCATCTCCCATCCATTATCCACAGTGCCAACTTTTAGGTAACACTCTACATTCTCCTGCACCAGAGACTTCCCAAGTTGGCAGCCCACTTGCTGGGAGCCTCTCTCCCACCTCCTCCTCTAACCTTCGGACTTAAGCTCAAACATACCCAAACAAACCTTCCTTGACCCTCTTCCTACATCTGATTTGCCTGTGCATGCCCTCATAGCAGTATCTTCCTAACAAAAATGTCATCATAGCTGTAAATTTCTATTTCTGGTCCTTTGATGAATGCATGTCTTCCCTTAGGACTAGAAGCTCCGCCCCTTTGGGGCTGCATGGAAAAAAAAAAAAAAGGACTAGAAGCTCCATGGGGACAGGGGCTACACCTGCTTTTCCTCACCATTGTATTCCTAGCTGCCAGCATAATGCCACATATACATTAGATACACGATAAATATACGTTTAATAAATAAATCAAAGGAGCCATGTTAAACAGAATCTTAGCCAAGGTGCAAAAATCCGTTAAATATATTAAATCTAAAATCTTATACTGATTCCATTTCTATCATTCATATTTAAGTCATTCAATTATAGACAGAAAGGTATGTAGGTAGGCAGATAGACAGACAGACAGCAAGGGCTTCCCTGAAACACATTCAACAAGAAGCCAGAAAGATTCTTCTGATGCTTACCTTCGGTGCTCATATCTGGTGTCGGCATCCAGATGTAGACCAAGCCTTCTTCCCTATAGAGCTTAATCATGGTGTCTGGTGTCATGGGTTCTGGGTAGCGGTTACAGCCCGAGGAATTCTGTACAATATCCCATTCAGTCTGGAAATTCATTACAGCTGTAATCCCCAATTCATGCTTCAGTTTGATGGTTATATGTTCCACTTGACGAGGGCAGCTACCCAGCCAGATATTTGGTAGAATTCTAATGAGAATATATAGAGGCAACTATTACTATTGTTATTGTCATGGCTTGAACTCTGAGGAGCTGCAGAAAACACGGTGTAATAAAATGCAATTAACCTTTACATCTGGCACAGGAAAAGCTGCCGTAACAATATTAGATGGTATAATAATATTAGTGATATAATAATACTATTGAAAGAAAAAATACTGGTGGTGTCATTTTTAGGGAAATAATTCTATTAACTAAAATGCTAGGAAATAAGCATTAGCAAGCCAAATCTTGCAACATATTAAAATAAGCCCACTAAGTTGTATTTATTCTTTGAATGTATATGTGGTTCAACATTAGGAAACTCATCAACATATTTGAAACACTAACAAGTTAAAGGCAAAACTTCAATGATTATATCAGTAAATTCTGGAAAACATTTGCCAAAATCGGCCATTATTCCTGTTTAAAACTCTACATAAAAATTTCAAATAGTACAGAGGCGCCTGGGTGGCTCAGTCGTTAAGCACCTGCCATCGCCTCAGGTCATGATCCCGGGGTCCTGGGATCGAGCCCCACATCAGGCTCTCTGCTCAGCAGGAAGCCTGCTTCTCCCCCTCCCACTCCCCCTGCTTGTGTTCCCTCTCTCGCTGTCTCTCTCTCTCTGTCAAATAAATAAATAAAATCTTTAAAAAAGAAAAAATTTCAAATAGTAGGAAAACTTTTAAACACCAGAAGCTAACAAACAACAATCTTCTTTTAAACAAAATCAAAGTCAAGCTTATATCCATTAGTACCCAACATTGTCCTATATGTTTCATCTAATGCTATAAGAAGAAATAGAACTATCTGGAAAAAAAGAAAAGAAAATGTTCATATTTTTTCAAGCATGTTTCTCTATCTAATATCCCAAAGGCTGGACCCCGCCCTCAAAGTTTCTGAGTCAGTAGATCTGGGTTGAGAGTCCAAGAATTTTTGGACTTCTAACAAGTCCCCAGGCAACACTGATGCTGCTCGTTCAGTGCAAAACCTTGAGAAGCACTCCCTAAAAGATTCAATTACAAAAGCTATGCAAATATTAAAAGTATTAAGACATCTGGATGAGGGAAAATGTACAAAAATCAAACAGCTCTTCTCTATTCGCAATAGCCAGGTAGAAATGGGGAAGTGGAGGTGAATCTCATTCAAAAATAGAAAGAAAATTGTAAAACATCTAGGAATACATTTAACCAGAAAGATTTATGAAATTTTATTGGACATTAAGAAAAAAAACAATAGGTAGACATACTGTGATATTATGATTTATAATAAGAAATATGTATTTGGTCTTCATCACAGTTTCCTGAGTGATAAAAGCCATAAAGCTGTCTTTTGTTATGTTAATGAGGTAACTTTGGACAGCACCCACCCTGGGCTGGTTGGCAGGGGAACCAACTTTGTGACTAGAGGACAGACCTTCCACCCACCCCTCGGCTTCTGGGAGAAGAGAGAGCTGAAGGTTGAACCAATCACCAATGGCCAATGATTTAATCAATCATCCCTATGTAATGGATCCTGCTTCCTTAGCCAAAGTGCCCTTTATATGCGTCTTATTTCAGCTTGTTGTCTCTAATAATAGGTGGTATACTTCTAGTTACATGATACATTGGAGGTAATAGGATGCATGATGTACTTTCTAAACAGTAATTAGACTTTTGCTTATACACTCAAGAGAATGATTTGACACCATTAAAAATCAATTTTTACTCATCTCATCTTTTAATCTTCTCTTGGCATCAATGGCACTTTAAATAATTTTAAAAATCAGGATTTTTTAAGGTAAAAAGAAATATGGGATTTAGGGAATAAAAATCCTCTGTAAAGGTAGTTTTGATGCAAGACATACAAAACTTCAAAGATATAATAATGAAATTAAAAAATAAATAGATCACAATTATATTATAAATTATACTGTAAAACTTCCAGAGAATTACTACTTTATGAATAGCTCACTATTGGTCATGAGTTACATCAGATTTCTGGCAGCTCAACTATAGATCATCTGAAAAGGTCGGAGGAAACCACTGCACCTAACGGGTATTGACAATCAACCCAGAAGTTCCCAAACCTGACTTTGCATTCAAGCCACATGAGTTTTTATAAAAACTTGTATTACCAACATCTAGTCCAGAGGTCATCAGTCATTAAGTGTCTGTGGAGTGAGGTCTATGATTCTGTGGATTTTTTTTCAAGAAATTAACCAGGTTATATATATTACATATGCAGCCCGATTCCAAAACCACTAGCCTGGCCAATCCCAATAAATATGTAGGAAGTTAGTATAGAGATCTCAATACCTTTTAATAGCACCAAAAAATACAGCAATGAAAGGGCATGGATTGCTCAGCCCTACACACGCATATAAGAGTTAAGTCCTTACCATTCTCCAAAAATACTTTCAAGACTAAAAATGATCCCCAGACAGAAAGTGGGGAATGGGAAACTGTTAGGAAAGAGTAGCTATGAGGATGTGTGTCTATGTGTTTAATAGGTAGCATCTTCTAAAAAGTCAAAACTAAATCTACTTCTGAGTCATGACAAGTATTTAATACAGCAACATTCATTAAGAACGTACTTTGGCCAAAAAAACGAATGTACTTTTGAAGATAAAAGATTTATTCATTTGAGTTTTGACTACTGCCACCATGATTCAACAAAATTTTATTTAAATAAAATCCATCCTAGTAATGTTACAACTTAGCTAAAGACCGGGGATGGGGGGCGGTGGGGGTGAGGGTTTCGGGAGTAGATGGATAGCTGACATTCTGGAACCTTATTTTGTTGGACTGCAAATCAAAATCAATTTCGCTCATTTGGGGGAATCTGGATTTGTGGTTCCAGGTAATCACATCACAATACTACAATGTTCGCTTCACCTGTCAGGCGGGGCCCCTGTTACAACAGCTAGTGAAACGTATGAATCAGAGCCCGCTTGTTCCATCTCTGCTGTCAGTCAAAGGGGGCCTTACTGGCAAAAATGAGTACATCAGACAGAATCAGCATCCAAGCACTTTGCAGAAAATACCACCGGGTTTTGACAGGAGGAGGGGGCATAGGAAAAACAGAAGGTATCAGCAAATAAGCCAGTTGTATGAACTCCACATCTCAAGTTCCATCACTAATGGCCTTGAAAAATGGCAGAATAACCTCTTCCTGAAGGTGAAAATTAGCATTATATTTTGTCCATAAGAAAAAAAAGTTAGGAAACACGGGATGATGAGATCAATGTGTGAACATAGAATATGTTTATTTTTTATCACCCCAAGAGACCACAACTATTAAAAGCAGTGCCTTCTTCTAAGCCATAAAAACACAGCACCATTTCAAAGAGGGAGAAAATGGATTTTGCTGAGGTTCTTCATAAAACCCAGCTAATGATTCAGGAGTTTAAAAAAAAAAAAATGATTAGCACATTTTCTAAGTTGGATAATTTTGTTGCATTTACCTTATTTAATATTTTATGGGCAATTCAACGTGAAATTAAAATGTGATCTGGCTTTTAAATAATGGGTAAAGAAAAAAAAGTCTATCAGTCCTATCATTTAGATCTCATTACTGGGAAAGCAAGAGAAACGTTAAAATCAACCTCCAGTAAGCTCCAAGCTTCATTAGCACATGTAACTCCTTCTGCTAAAAATCTGCCCTCTAGTGTTAAGTGTTACGTTATTAATAACAAACTTCTACCCCAAAGACTCCAGTTAAGGCTGAATGACTGCAAAAAGACAAATTTCAATTTAGAGAGTGATACTAACTTCTTTATTTAAAAAATAGTTTTATTATAGTTTGCTTATAGGTTATAGACTATAGTATATAGAGAGCACATGCTAATTTCTACAGGTACACTTAGTTTCTTAGATTTTTTTTTGGATGTGCTATGTAGTTTATAGCCACATGAAGCAAATATTTTTGTCATATGTTTTTATTTTCTATATTTAAAATGCCATATAATAATTATTAAGGTTGTTATGGATTGACTTGAGTCTCCCCAAAATTTCCATGTTGAAGTCCTAACCCCAGCACCTTAGATGTCACCTCACTTGGAGATAGGGTCCCTACAGAGGTAATCAAGTTAAAATGAAGCCATTAGGGTACACTCTAATCCAGTACACCTGTTATTCTTATAAGGGGAAATTTGGACACAAACACATACAGAGAGATGATGTGAAGATAAAAGAAGACAGCTGTCTACAAGGCAAGGAGAAGGGCTTAGAATAGATCCTTCTCTCAAAGCCCTCAGAATGAATCAACCCTATAGACACAGTGATCCTGAACTTTTAGCCTCCAGAACTGAAACAAAAATTTTCTGTTGTTTAAAAACCATCACAGTTCATGGTACTTTGTTAGAGCAGCCCCAGAAAACTAATACAAAGTCTAAACATTCAGACTTAAAATATATACATTCAACCATCCAAATTCTTCAAATATCCATAAATGAGGTATACTTAAAGTAAAACATTTTAATAGATATTTTTCACCTTTCATTCTGATCTTTGAAATTCTACAATTAGCTTTTGATTGTGGCATCCCAGTTGTCCTCTTATACAATAGTACTACCCATTCTCATTCCTTGACTCATGTCCTTCAGTCCATCACTTGAGCATCTCCAACATGGCAGATAAGATCATCAGGCCCCTGGTTGTGCTATTTGGGTTTCCTTCTTAATCTAATAGCTCAGTTCTAAAGTTCTGAACTTTAGAACTAGGTACCTAGTTTTCATAAATACAGTACAGTCTTGGGCCTGTTTGCTTGGCTTTCAGAGAATGGATCTCAATGGAAAATCACCTGAAATGTATAAGAGCACAGTCTTTGGACTCACAACTTGTTAAGATTCTGAGTCCAAGGGTGGCTCAGTCAGTTAAACATCTGCCTTAGGCTCAGGTCATGATCCCAGAGTCCCAGGATCAAGTCCCTCATCAGGCTCCCTGCTCCGTGGGGGGTCTGCTTCTCCCTCTGCCCCTCACCCCACTCATGCTCTCTGTCTCGTTCTCTTG